ATATACCGAAGTTTATACTCTTTAGTGTTTTTAAAAAAATTTTAACCATATTTTATACTTGTATTAATGTATGCTAAACTCTTTTTCATGGTAGACGAACATCGTTTTAATTTTTTAGAATTAATTTAATAAGATTTCATACAATACTTAAATTAAATAGTCGATTAACCATTATGAAATCTCTATTACGTAAAGAAAAATAGACAATATAGGTTATAAACCTCTTTTACCATCATCATATGTCAGTATATGAACAACTATGCAGTAAAATAATATTTTCATATTTTTTAATTTTTTATAAAATCTATGGGTTAACCCCAACGAAAATATTTAGTTTTAGGTAAATGCTCTATATGCTGAGAATTGTACTCTTTAGTGATGTTTAAAAATCTCAAACGACATTTTACACTTGCATTAATATATTCCAAACACTATTCATGAAAAATGGGTATTGTTCTAATTGCTTAACAATTAATTTAGTAAAACCTCATATACTGCCTGTATCAATGAATTAAGCGCTAAGAAATATCTATTTTCTGGATAAACAAAGAAAAAAAAAGTTTTAAACCTCTTTGACCATCATCCTAAATAAGTGCAAGATGCAACTATGAATTAAAACAAGATTTTATATTTCTGAATTTTTCTCAAAATCTATAGGTTAACCCCTAAAAAAATATTTAGTTTTTTAAATACTTTACATAGTGAAGTTTATACTACTTAGTGTTGTTTAAAATTATCAAACCACATTCTACATTTATATTAATTCAATCTAAGCTATCTTACATTGTACATTGAAATCGTTTTAATTTGTTAAGGATTAGTTTAATAAAACTTCATATACTACCTAAATTAGTTGACTAACCATTATAAATCTCTATTTTTACGGAGAAACGGAGACAACAAATATTCTAAACCTCTTTCACCATCATCCTATGTCAGTGAACGATGAGACTATGCATTAATACCAAATTTTCATATTTTTGAATTTTCTCAAAATCTATGGGTTACACTCCTTACGAAAATATTGAGTTTTTCATTGAATGCTCTATATATCAAAACTTACACTCTTTATTATTGTTTAAAATTTTATAACCATATTATATATTTGTATTAATCTATGCAAAACTCTTTTTCATGGTACACGGACATTGTTCTTCTTTTAACAATTAATTTAGTAAAACTTCATACACTACTTAAATTAAATTAGTCGATTAACGTTTATGAAATATCTATTATCTAGAGAAACAGAGATAATAAAGGTTCTAAACTTCTTTTACCATCATCATATGTCATTACATGATGCAAATATTCATTAAAACAATATTTTCATATTTTTAAAAAATCTGTGGGTTAACCCCAATGTAAATATTTAGTTTTATGGTAAATGCTCTATATACTGAGATTGTATTCTATAGTGATGTTTAAAAATCTCAGACCATATTTTATTAATTGTATTAATGTATGCTAACACTCATTCATGCTAAATGGACGTCGTTGTAATTGTTTAACAATTAATTTAGTAAAACTTCATATCTTGCCTTTTTTTTTTTTTTTTTTTTTTTTTTTTGAAACAAACTTCATATCTTGCCTACATCAATGGATTAAGCACTAAGGAATATCTATTTTCTGGATAAAGAGAGACAACAAAGGTTTCAAACCTCTTTGACCATCATCTTATGTAAATGCATGATGCAACAAAAAAACTAAAACCAGATTTTCATATTTCAGAATTTTTCTAAAAATATAAGGTCAGAATAGCTGAATTTATGGTTTTGCTTAATACAATTAGGAAGTTTTTTTAACTGCTTTATATAGTGAAGTTTATACTATCTAGTGTTGTTTAAAATTATCACAACATATTATACATTTACATTAATGTAATCTAAACTATCTTACGTTGTACTTGGACATCGTTCGAGTTTTTTTAACGATTAATATAATAAAATTTCATATACTGCCTAAATTAGTAGATTAACGATTATGAATCTCTATTCTCTAGAGAAACAGAGATAACAAAGGTTCTAAACCTCTTTGACCATCATCCTATGCCAGTGAACGATACAACTATGCATTAAAAAAATTTCATATTTTTGCATTTTATTCGAAATTTGTGGGTTAACCCCTACAAAAATGTTAACTTTTTTTGGTAAAATCCTCTATATACCTAATTTTATACTCTTTAGTTTTTTTTTGTAAAAAAAATTATAACCATATTCTGTATTTGTATTAATGTATTCTAAGCTCTTTTTCATTGTACACGGTTATCTTTTTAATTTTTTAATAATAAATTTAATAAAACTTCCTACTTAAATTAAATTAGTCGATTAGCCTTTATGAAATCTCTATTATCTATAGAAACAAATATAATATAAGGTTGTAAACTTCTTTGACCATCATCATATGTCATTACATGATGCAACTATTCATTAAACAATAATTTCATTTTTTTAATTTTTTAAAAAAATTGTGGGTTAACCCCAACATAAATATTTAGTTTTATGGTAAATGCTCTATATACTGAGATTGTATTCTATAGTGATGTTTAAAAACTCAAAAGATGTTTTATTACTTCTATTAATGTATGCTAAACACTCATTCATGATAAATGGACGTCGTTCTAATGGTTTAACAATTAATTTAGTAAAACTTCATACATTACCTACATTAATGGATTAACATTGAGAAATATTTATTTTCTGGATAAACAGAGACAACAAAGGTTGCAAAATTCTTCACCATCATCTTATGTAAGTGCATGATGCAACTAAGAACTAAAACCGGATTTTCATATTTTTGAATTCTTCTCAAAATCTGTGGGTTAAACCATTACGAATTTTTTTAGTTTTTTAACTGCTTTATATAGTGAAGTTCATGCTCTCTAGTGTTCTTTAAGACTATAAAATCACATTCTACATTTACATTAATGTAATCTAAACTATCTTACGTTGTACTTGGACATCGTTCGAGTTTTTTTAACGATTAATATAATAAAATTTCATATACTGCCTAAATTAGTGGATTAACGATTATGAATCTCTATTCTCTAGAGAAACAGAGATAACAAAGGTTCTAAACCTCTTTGACCATCATCTTATGCCAGTGAATGATGAAATTATGCATTAAAACAAAATTTTCATATTTATGAATTTTTCTCAAATATATGGGTTAACCCTACGAAAATATTATTTTTTTTGTAAAATGCTCTATATACCGAATCTTATACTCTTTAGTTTTGTTTAAAATATTATAACCATATTCAATATTTGTATTATTGTATGCTAAATTCATTTTCATGGTACACATACATCGTTTTATTTTTTAACAATTAATTTAATAAAACTTCATACACTATTTAAATTAAATTAGTGATTAACCATTATGAAATCTCGATTATCTAGAGAAACAGAGACAACAGAGGTTCTAGACCTCGTTGGCCGTCATCATATATAAGTGCATGAGGCAACTATGAAGTAAAACAGATTTTATATTACTAAATTTTCCTCAAAATCAATGAATTAACCCCTACAAAAATATTTAACTTTTATTAAAATGCTCTTTATATAGTGAAGTTCATACTATTTTGTGTTGTTTAAAATTATATAACCATATTTTACATTTACATTAATGTAATCTAAAGTATCTTACATTGTACATGGACATCGTTTTAATTTTGTTAAAGATTAATTTAATAAAAATTTCGCATACTGGCTAAATTAGTGGAATAGCCGTCTTCTCTATTCTCTAGAGAAACGGAGACAACAAAGGTTCTAAACCTCTATGACCATTGTCATATACCAGTGAACGATGCAACTATGCATTAAAACCAAATTTTCATAGTTTTTGAATTTTTCTCAGAAAATATTGAATGTTTTGTTAAATGCTCTATATACCAAAGCTTATATTCTTTATTGTTGTTTAATATTTTATATACATATTCTATATTCGTCTTGATGTATGCTATTTTTCATGGTACACGGACATCTTTTAATTTTTTAACAATTAAATTAATAAAACTTCATACATTACTTAAATTAAATTAGTCGATTAACCATTATGAAATCTATATTATCTAGAGAACGGAGACAATAGAGGTTCTAAACGTCTTTGACCATCATCATATGTCAGTATATGATGCGATTATGCATTAAAAATATTGTTATATTAAAGAACTAAACCCTATTCTAGAGAAATTGGGACAACAAAGATGTCAGACATCTTTGATATTCTTCCTATATCTGATGAATGCATTTACGCATTAACAGAAACGTACTATATTTTATACTTTATTTTGAAGTATGTAGGTTAACCACTATAAAAATATCGAGTTTTTTGATAATGATATATACAAAAGGTTAGATTATTTCTTGTTAATTAAAAATACCTTATCACATTATATATTTATATTAATGTATGTTAAACTTGATTTCATGGTATAGTGAATAATTTGAAAAAATTTCATATTCCATCTAGTTCACTCGACTAATCCATATAACATATGTATTTTTGGAGAAATAGAGACAAATAAATTTTTAGATCTCTTCAATTTTCATCACATGTTAATGCATGAGAAAGTTATGCATTAAAACAGGAATGTAGCATATTTTCTAATTTATCTTATAAAAAATTGAGTTTTTTTCAATAAATGTTATATATATTAAAGTTTAGTTTTATAGGTGATGATTTTTAAAAATATCTACCCACTAAGTTTATATTAATGGAGACATCCGTTTCGGTTTCTCGGCGAACAAGAACTATACCTCGTATTTCTTCTATACCCATCATCCATACAATCTTGTCAACAGATCGTCCTCTATCTCATCATGCCAAAATAATGTGTTAAATAATGCTACTTTTGCTTTTTTAACACTTTGTTTTATTGAATTTGATTTATAACATGTTACATCACAGAATAGAGACAAAACTATAAAGAGAAACAGATGATAATACTACACCGAAAACTAGTGAAGACAAACATCATAGATTCTATGTTACAATCTTTGTTAGAGGGTATCTCGGTTCTTGAACATCAAATTCACATGATTCATGACATGTATCTCTTTCCCTTGGCCATTGGGCTTGGCGTTTTTCTGGAGATCAAATATCAACATTCAGATTCTGTCTTCAAACCATAACTACATCGATACTTTGATCTCCTTCTAAAATACAACCTTCAACAAAACTTTTGTCTATGTGCTCCACAAATTCCACTTAGAGAAGAAGTATGGAAAAAAATCACTGATATTTCAATAACCAGAGATTCTACTTGGTTTTTGACATGAGACTTCAATGAGATCACTTCCAACTCAGAAAAAAAAAAGGAGGGGAAAGGAAAGGCCTGAGAGTTCATTCCCAGTGTGCATATTAACAGACAATAACAGCGATTATATGGACTGGGGGAAATACTATTATTATGTATACAGCGATCGAGAAGATATATGTACACAACGTTACCCTTTTTTGGCTATATCTGTTGTTACATACAGAACCCTATTAATAATCCACTTGGGGCGGTCAATGGGTCATGAGGAGTTTGGTGAGACCTTTTCAAAAATTCTCTGACCTGGCGCTAATATTGCCAATGGATCATATCTGGATTTTCTCCGTACAAAATCACCCCACTTGGGACCAAAGTGGGATCTCCACTCGTGTCTGGTTGTGTAATGGGGCAGGTATTGCTTCAGTCCTAAACCTGCAGCTTCACTGAATTCAAGTATCCTTTGGTTCCGCTTTACGATTTGGTCAACTCCATTCTTCCCCGTTGACCCTGGAACTGCCGATGTAAGGATCGCCACCAAGTAGAATATCTCTTCATCCTCTGGTGTCACCGCTGAACTTCTATTGTCCCACCTGACAACATTAATAGATGATTAGGTCTGATTTGCTTCTCGTTGTTACTTGTTAGTTAGGCTAACCAATTCATGTTTCTTACTTTGACTTGTTGATTGGGTAGATGATGACTGGCCCGTTGCTTGTATCGGTTAGGATGTTTCCGAACACACCTTTTGCAAATTCATTGACTCTGCTTCTTGGCACTAGCAGATTCAGCCAGGGGTGTGGAACTTCCCACTGCCCTTTTGATCTCAGCTTTATCTCAGAGACATGTACTCTGTCCAAGAATTCTTCATACGTTACCTCCGATGAAAAAAGTGTTGACGAGATGTAGCTTAGTTCAGATAATGATTCTTTCACTTCCTGGATGACATGTTCAAAACCAAAACAAAAAAAAACTAAGATTTTCCAATTCTGTTGCTTTGTTTATGTATTCCTTACTCTGCTTTCTCACCTGGTTCATTACATTTTTCTTGTCTTCATCCAGCTTAAAGTACTTGGCCACTTCCAGACAGTAGAGATTCCTGCCATCAGATTTGAATTGGCTCGCCTTTGTAGGGTCTTCTGGTGTGAATGATAACCTCCAGTTGTCCAGCAGACCCGTCCTGTTTATTATCACAAAACCTTCGACGTAATCGAACTTGTCATCTGAAGAAATCAGGCGCTCTTGGTCCTTGGCAAAAGCTGCAAAATCCAGGTACAACACTCTCATCCATTTAACCTGCCCATTAGCACAGAGCTATTATCAGGTACCGTATATATATATAACACAGTACTTTTAGAGGACTGTTTACCATGGTTGGTGCTGTTTCCAATGCTATTCTTGCCTTTGTTATGATACCAAACTGACCTAACCCACCAAGAACTCCATGAAACAGGTCGCTGTTCTCCCTCTCTGAACAGTTTAAGATCTCACCTTTTCCTACACAAGTAAACTTGGCATTATTTTAGTGAGTAATACATTTACCTTGTTCTTTCTGAGCGTTTGGTTTTAGTAGTCACCACTCTGAATGAACTAACCTGTGACAACCTCCAGTTGATGAACATTGCTGATCTGCGGTCCGTGTCGGAATGCCTGGCCGCTGATTCCAGCATTGGACAGAGTACCACCTACAGTTAAATGTAGGTAATCCGTCCATGATTTTGGTGCAAGCCCGTACTTTAGGGTCTCGTGCAATATGTTTATCCACAGCTCACCACCAGACACATCAACGAACGGATTGGAAGAACCCACACTGTGGACCTGCAGCTTCTGGGGCTGTAGTGATTCCATGTGGATAACAATTCCATGGCTTGTTTGTGCTTGGCCTTGGAGTGAATGTCCACGACCTCTCGCTGCCACCGTAAGCTGTGAATGAGGTCCCATCATCCAGATGTGTCGTATCACTGAGGCGATGTCGCTTACAGATTTGGGATGTAAGATCGCCAAAGGAAGCAGTTGGGACCGATTTCCAAAATCTTTGGAGGCGGGATGGACATCTTCAAACTCCAAATGGCCTACTAGGGGAAGGGATTTCAACGAAGAAATGCTGCAGCAAGCTAACTTAAAGGCTATGCAGCTAAGTAGTAAGATGGTTAAACTTTTTACTACAAGCATGTTTCTTTTCTTGAGGAGGCATGCATGTATATAGTTCATATGGACTCTTGATTTCTGAGTATTGAAACCAAAGGTGGAAAAGGGTGTGATCTTATAAAAGGTAGTGCAATTCTGAATGGAGGAGGAGGCAACAAATCTTTTTGGTTGTGAGAATCAGGATGGGGACTTGGTTGTCTACAATGGGTTATATAAATAGCTTATGAATTATTTTATTTTTTTAGTTCAGGTTTCTCTTTCTTTCTTTTGCAGGGAGAAGCCATAAATAAGGTCCCTGCCTAGTTGAAGGGAAAAAGTCACAAGAAAGAAAGATCTCGCGAATCTTTTTTATCTTTTCATAACAGTTACACCCACAATCTTGGCTTTTCCGAAGGAAAGGCAGACAAGATCATACCATGACACTTTTTACTTTGAAACTTACCATTTGAAGCACTCCTTTTTTTTCATCCTCTCCTCCCATACGTACATCTGCTTTTTTATCCCCTTTCCAGTCGTAGGTATGGTTTTGCTTTTTGTGCTGAAATCTGTTATCTGAGATTGTGTTCCACTCTTTTTCAGGCTTTTGACTCGGATGAAACGCAAAAGGATTGGTTTCTGATTCATCTGTGAGAAAAAGAATGGCATATCACTGAGGTGAGGGGGTCAGCAGAGGTGGAACGAAAGAAATCCTTGTGGGAAAATGAGGAGGCAATTTCAGTCATGATGGGACCCAACAACACTATCCTTGTAAGTAAAAAAACTGAACGACAGCACAAAGCAAAGCAACCAATGAGTGAGAGTCTTTCTGTTACTGATTTAAGGCCTCCCAATAAATCATCTCTTCTATTCATAAAATTCTTGTGATTGGCATTATTATGAGATTATATTGTGTTTAATTTACTTTTGATAAACATCCGGCAGGTGGATAACAAGAGGGACTCGGTGCTTCCTCAGACAGCATCATCTCGGACACTCTCCATTTTTTATGTCTGTTCTTCTTTCTTTTGGTCTTTTGTTGGGGGTTAATCTGTTCATTTGTTTTAATTATTACTCTCTCTCTCTGGTACAGAGTTACATTCAGTTTCCTGGATTATATCAATCTTTGGGCTACGTGATCACCTACAAGATCGTTATAACAATTAGTAACCAGGAAGATTTAATCTTATGGAAGGATTAAAACAGGAAAAAAGAGAGAGAGAAAGAGACTGGTGACAAAGGAGTGGCTAGTGAAGATTGTGTGCACCCATTAGAAATCTCGGGTTTGATAGAGATTGTGTTACAGAGTTTGACCAGTCCATTTTTAAACAGTGAAGAAAGAAGTTGGGCTCTTGTCAACTAACTGATGAGGTGGTGGGCATGGTGTGAACTGAAAACGGAGTTGGTGGAAATGGTTGGTCTCTAGAAGGAGAAGCGACCAGAGAGCACTAGCGAGAGGGTCGTGGGGCACAGCTTGTCCCAAAGCAATCTTGGTCCCTATATATATATATATATATATATGTCTTTGAACATTTGTCAGCCAAAGGGTCGAAGGGACGGCTGTGGTAGTGTGTGTGATTGAAGTGGACTGGTCCACGCAGACTGTAATGCCTCTGACAAATCAGCTTAAATTCTTATTGGTGCTTCCTTCCACCTTCACGTGACTTTGTTCCCATTAACATTCTTTTTCTGGCAAAACAAATTAAGAAAAGTGTGTGTGTGTGTGTGTGTCTTTCCACCGTTAATAAAATATCATCGTTATTGTAAGTATATGATTCCGTTTTGACATAGAATAGGAGGACCCGTGTCTTACTGCCTTTGAAACACACATAAATCACGAGTTTTGTGTGATTATCTTCTGAGTTCCACTCAGGGCCGGCTTACATATTAGTTCCACTCATATGTCAATACTAGGTGATTTTCCCGTGCTCATGCACGGGTATGAATATTCATAAAAGTAAAATTTTATAATAATTGATTGATATTTAGTTTTCGTTTTGAATCAATTTATATGTATAATTTATATTAATAAATATTATATTATTCTAATTATACATATGACTTCGATATATTATTGTCGATTTTATTATTTTGGATTAAAACGGGTTGGTTATCAATTTGGCATATTGGACAATATA